AGATATGAGATTTTTTCTTCATTTTTTCCTCGAAAAAGAAATACGATAAGATTTGATCTAAATTCAGCCAAACTGCGTGTTTTATAGTGTTGTGAATACTATAAGCAACGCTTAGATCAGCTGAATTCAGTCGGAAACTTTGGAATTATCGGAAGAATCGTGAAAATTACCATATTCTTGAACAAGTAGAAAAAGTGTTTCATATTAGACTCAACATCTATCCATTTTTTTTCTTTCAACACCTTTCAGATGTATTTTTTAAAAGTTTTTCTTGGTCAAGGTAAAGGTAAAATTAGTTAAAAAACCCTCTTTGTTAATAGCAATAACAACTAAAAGTTGATGAAAAAAATAGTTCATGATTTGAATCTTCCTCGGTTTTTCTCAATGATTAAAATCAATGCAAACGTTTAAAATTTTTCAAAATTTAGCAAAATCGACCAATCTCATATATTATTACAAGTTTTTCTCACAGTTATCATGGTATTTACGAGAAATGTTGTAGGAAGTTTTTGAGAAATTTTTCAAAAACTACATCTATCATTTGACAAAATTCATTAAAATTCTGCTTATCAAACTGTACTGGTACTGAACCGATCTTGGCAAAAACTTAAATTAAGCATATTAGAAAGTACTTAGATTTCAGCTAAAACTTCATAACTGTTCATAATCTCTATTTTGAATATGAAGACGAATGTCTAGAGGACACAGAGGAAACTGATATGTCAACCCAGTTTTTTAGAACGCAGAAAAATCAGCTGATTGATTTGAAACAAAATCTGGAGAGGTCTGTTAGCACCTTACTTGTATTTGGGTTAAACAGTGGAAGATATGATCTGAACTTGATCAACAGCCATCTGATTCCCTACTTAATCATTGAAAAAGAAGCTGAAACAATGGTTATCAAAAAAGCTAACGATTTCATATCCTTCAAGATTGGAGACACAGTTTCTCGATATCATGAAGTTTTTGGTTGGAGTGACTTTAAACTCCTTTCTTAAGGCCTATATTGCAAGTGAGACAAAAGGGGTTTTCCCTTATGAGTGGTTTGACAGTGCGGACAAGCTCGAGAATGAAGAGATACCTCCATACGAATCCTTTTCAAGTAAACTGAGAAACAACAACCCTCTTTATAAAGACTTAAAGGATTATCAGAACTTGAGATGAAGTGGACTTGATGAGCAACAAGCACTGAAGAAACTTCGAATCAAGACAGTACCAGCATCTGGATGGGATAATTACAAATATTTATAGGAGATTTGGCATAAAAATGGAATGACTTCATTTAAAGATTTTTCGCAGTGGTAGAACAAAGACGTCGCTCCAACCCTTGAAGCAATGCAAAAAAATGGTTCAGTTTTATCATCAGAAAGAAATTGAAATGTTAAAACTTGGATCTACTCTTCTCCAAATCTGGCAAATAATTGTCTGCACAAATCAACCAATGAAAAATTCTACCAATTCTGCGAAAGTAACAGAGATTTGTTCGAGAAAATTAGAGAGGATATGACAGGTGGACCATCAATTGTGTTTACGTGAAAACCTGTTTTGGACGAAACCTTTATCAGGGTTTCAACAAATATCTGCAAATCAGTCGTTGGAATTGATGCGAGCCAGATTTACCCCTAATCAATGTCTGAGGATATGCCAACAGACCTGTACACAAGATGGAAATTTGATTCCGATATGCAACAATTAAAATCAAAGATAGGCATAACTGATCTCGCAATGTTGAGAACATGGTAATGTCTTTTTACGAAGAAACAACGCCAGAATGCAGAATTGAGAGCTTCCACACATCCAGAAATCAAAAGAAAACTGTCTGTTTCAAGGTAGATCGATACTGCGATCACTGCAAAACAAAGTTTGAAGCTAGGGGATGCGATAACCACTTCTGTCCCTGCCAGGAGACTCGTCCCTTATTGAGCGATGAGGATTATGAGCGAGGAAACGAAAGAAGAGAGATTGATGACTTGAGACGGGAGTATATTCGCGAAAAAGGATACAAAATCGAAGATATGTGGGAATGTGAATGGTGGCAAAACTTCAAAACGAAAGAAAAAATTGAGACTCATATCCGATTCAGCTTTATCTACAAAAGAACTCTCTCTATTGAATCTTTTTTTGTTTTTGGAAAAAAAGAGATGGATCCCCTTATGACTATATTCAGTGTGACTTAGTTGTTCCAGATGAACTGAAAGCAAAATTCGCTAATTTTCCTCCAATTTTCAAAAACACTGAAATTGAAAGTAATGAAATCGGTGAATATATGCAAAATTATTGCATTGAAAATGATTTTTTAAGCATCTCCAGCGAATGCTAATATCGAGTTTCAAACTAGAAAATGGTTCTATCATTTATCATCTCTTCAATTTCTATATGGAACTTGGCCTACAGTGAACAAAAGTTTACTGCTTTGTACAGTATTCCTCAAAAATGCTTCAACAAGTTTGTCCAGTCAGTTGTTGATGCTAGAAGGGAAGGAGTTTGTTGCAGAGACTATGAAACTTTTAGGTAATTCATCATACGGCTACCAGATAATGGATAGATCGAGACATACGATCACAAATATTTAAATGAGAAAACACACAAAGCAACTAGGGGCCCAGCTGAAAGCTGGAGAGACCTGTTTGATTATTTTAATATTGATTATTTTAAAATTGTTTTAAAATTTCAGGTTTCTCAAGTCGATAGCGCCCTTCCTACGCAAAAAAGTGAAAGAGAAGCTTATGCATTCATTATGCAAATCTGGATGGGTAGTTTTTGAAGAAATCGAAAAAGTTTGAAAAAATGGCCTAAAAACCGAAAAATTGACTATTCCTAAGTGTATAGCTCTTCCCCTAGACAAATTAGGGACAAGCCGTTTGTGTAGGGGGGGTTCCTACAACCTGGTCTATCGATTAAACCCTTAATCCCAAATCTGGACGGGTAGTTTTTGAGGAAATCGGAAAGATTTGAAAAAAGGCCAAAAAAGTCAAAAAAGTGACTTTTCCTAAGTCTATAGCTCTTCCCCTAGGCAAGTTAAGGACCAGTCGCTTGTGCGGGGGAGTTTCCTACAACCTGGTCTATCGATTAAACCCTTAATTCCAAATCTGGATGGGTAGTTTTTGAGGAAATCGATAATTTCCGAAAAAATAGGCAAAAAAAATCAAAAAAGTGACTTTTCCTAAGTTTATAGCTCTTCCCCTAAGCAAATTAGGGACCAGCCGCTTGGGCAGGGGAGTTTCCTACAACCTGGTCTATCGATTAAACCCTTAATCCCAAATCTGGATGGGTAGTTTTTGAAGAAATCGAAAAAGTTTGAAAAAATGGCCAAAACCGAAAAATTGACTATTCCTAAGTGTATAGCTCTTCCCCGAGACAAATTAGGGACAAGCCATTTGTGTAGGGGGGGGTTCCTACAACCTGGTCTATCGATTAAACCCTTAATCCCAAATCTGGACGTAGTTTTTGAGGAAATCGGAAAGATTTGAAAAAAGGCCAAAAAAGTGACTTTTCCTAAGTCTACAGCTCTTCCCCTAGGCAAGTTAAGGACCAGCCGCTTGTGCGGGGGAGTTTCCTACAACCTGGTCTATCGATTAAACCCTTAATTCTAAATCTGGATGGGTAGTTTTTGAGAAATCGATAATTTCCGAAAAAATAGGCAAAAAAATCAAAAAGTGACTTTTCCTAAGTCTATAGCTTTTCCCCTAAGCAAATTAGGGACCGGCCGCTTGTGCATGGGAGTTTCCTACAATCTGGTCTATCGATTAAACCCTTAATCCCAAATCTGGACGGGTAATTTTTGAGGAAATCGAAAATTTCCGAAAAAATGGGCAAAAAGTGAAAAAAGTACAGAGTTGTGAAGCTTTTCTAAGACCGTAGGGGGTGGGGTAGGGTGAAAATTGCCCTAAATTTCATGCAGGCAGGTAGGTGAAACGCTACTGAATCCATTGGTACCACTTTTATGAGAATCTGACGGGTAGTTTTTTGGGGAAAAAAAACCAGATCTCATCTGGAAAAAAAAAACGTTTTCATAATACCTGTTTAATAAATCAAACAGGAATTAATGAACTATTTTTCAAACGATTGAACACTGTTCAGAAAAATTTGTTCGAGATTGAGTTTCTAAGTTTTGTGATATTAATAAAATTGAGGAATTAGAAATGGACACGGACTAGTTATATTTAGCTCTTGCTGAGAAAATTTGTATGATTGTGTTCGTCCGGAGAAAAAAGGTGACTGGGAAAAATTGAGAGAAAATGATTGCAGGATTCATTTAGAGCAGATTCAAAAACAAACATTTTTAAACTAACATATTGTAGCGCTCACAAAAAACACGATAAACAAGAGCCTGGTTTCGTTTATTTAAGAATTTAGGTGTACGGAGATGCTCTGTTTATGTAGCAAGACTTATGTTGCTATGACAAAAACCAAACAAAATGAAATTTAGCAGCAAAGTGTTGAATAAAAGAGTTCTAGAGGAATCCGGCGATGAACCTATGGCAAAATACAGGAAATCACTCGACGAAGCAATCAACTTGAGGCCAACAAACAGGATTTAGAAATATTAATCATATGGTTGCTACATACGAGCAGACAAAGAAGGGGTTGAGTTATTTTTACCCAAAAAGACAAGTTCCGGATGACGGAATAAACACAAAACCCTTGAACTTGTAAATAACTGATAGTGCAGCTGCATTCGATGCAGTGTTGATTAACTCACTGTAAACTTGCGCTAAAATTATTATACGAAGCAGTGATTTATTCTCCAAGTTTTAGAAGTTTTCAGCATAGTTTCAGGTAAATAGAGTACATCTTTAAAAAGTAAGATCATCTAATAAAATAGATAATAAGTAAAATTATATCAAACCTTATCGTGTTTCGAAGTTTTTTGGAAAATTTTTCAATTTTTTTTTGATAAAAAATCTAAGTTAGGTATGAAAAAAATTATTCGTAATAATATACTACGCTACGCTGGTGTAAGCATGTGGTGAGCTTGAACGAAAAAACAACATCTGAAATATATTTTAGACTAGCAAAGAACCAATTGAACCGAAGTAACCGTAATTAAATAAGTTTTACAGAGCACCAGTTTGAATTTAATATAACCTTTTATATGGTTTGAAACATTTTGAGTCTTCATGAAAATCGAATTTGCCCCTTGGAGTTTAATTTTATACTAGAGTCTTGACAATTACATTGAATTCCACTGCCTCAAAGAGTCTTGTCCAGGCCAATTGCTTTCAGTATTTCCGGATATTCGCTCAGAAGCCGTCTCAGAAGAAGTGAAATTATCGCGAGCAGAATGATCAATGCAATTATGATCAGGCCCAGTTGTGTGACATCTGTTTCCTGTCTCGCTCGCTGGACGGCAACTCTAGTTTGACGGCTGCTCTGCGTTGGCGGTCGACTTCTCTCTGGTTGCGTTTTGGGATAATCAGTTACTCTTTGGTGTATTTCCGATGCGGCTGCACTTGTTCCATTGCTTATGTTTGTCAAACATATGGTTTCTGCTGTTCTTAATCGCACTGAACTGGAATCCGAGGCATTCAATGTACTAGACGGCGATGTTTGTGGAATTTGAGGCACTTCGGAGCTCTGTTGAGATTCAGCTGAGAGATTGTCCCTACCTGATGAAACAACCGGACACGCCTCAGCCGAATCTCTCCGAAAAGCATCGCTGTGTTTTCTAACTGCCGTTGTCCCCTTTTCCTCGTCGCCCCCCCTCTCTTTTATGTCCACAGTACTCGAGGTGGCAGTTTGAGTGAAACTTTTCTGTGCCAAACTCTTCGCTAGTTCCAAGTCTTTGTGGGTGGATGCGGACGAAGATGATGTTAATTGTTCACGTTGTTTCAGGATGTCCCCACAGTGGATGCCACATTTGGGACACTTGAAGTACAGCGAGAACTTGGCCAGGTTTGTTCGCTCTTCAGGTGTGTAGTCCAATGACCCGACCGCCCCTGAAACATTCAGCCATGACAATTCAGTTCACTTAACCCTCGAGCAATTCAGCTTAAAAAAGTCTTAATCCCTTCTCTAAGTGCGCCTACTTTGGTACCAGTCGAAAATTTAGAGTCAACCGGCTAATTAACACGAATCTTTTCAGATTAGAAATAAATTTTTGAAAAAAGAAACAATCTTTCAATATTCATAGACGCGACGTTGCATTTGCGTACAAAAGCGATACAAACAGATAACTGAAAATGAAAAACAAAATCAAGAACCAGAAAACTGTCTCCTATGAAAAAGCGGGATGTGAGCCCTGGCACCTCCGGATTAAGAGATACTGGACTTCTCTCTGAGCAGCTTTTTGTATGTCCTCGGTGTTATTGAAATGTAAATGAATATATCTTTTTGCACAATTTCATATATCACCTAAATGAATTCAAGATCAATAATTCTTAAAGTCACCACAGAGTCTGCTACGAAACTGGATCAATGGGTAAGTTTCCGATCAAATTGTAAAATTTACAATATTAAATCCATTTTGCAGCTAAAAATCCTCCATATTTTTGCGCCAATTGAACTTTTTCTATTGGAGAGCGCAATTTGCCTTGCCTTCAACAAATTGGTTTTGATTCAACTCAATTTTGAACAGTTGGAATTTCTCAGGTTTCATAGTCAACCCACTTGGAATTTATTGTAAATTGGTTAAGAATTTAGGACCCCCAAAACTTAGGACAATTAGTCGAGAAACGAAGAACTCAGAAGAGTAGCTAAAAAGAGCGATTTCATAAGAAAAAAGGGACAAACACGCCAAAATATGTTAAGGGCAGGCTAGTTTATATGGGTTCTACGCAGCTGGGAACATGGCGCCGACGGGGGCACCCCAAAGCAACTCGGAACCGGTCAGTAATGACACAGGGCCAAGGAGATGATATCCAAGGGATGAAGGGGGAGGAGCAAGGCAAACAAGACAGGACAAGTTTCAAATGCGATCAATCGAATTTCACACCAGAACACTTGCAACAGAGCCCAGCACGACCAGCGACCTGCTAACTTTGTACGAACACCGACGACTATGAGAAAAGGTACAAAGGATGGAAGTTATCGCACGGTGTCAATCTGTTGAACTACTCCAAGAAGCAAGGCCATTTGACGTGGACGATGCGATGCCCCTTGGGTGAGGTAACGTAGCAGCACGCAAACTAGATTGGATTTTTGAACGGTATCGCAGAAAAGCATTGGCCATCAGAAACTTCAGACAGTTATTTGGTGACGGCGAGTAGGCGGAAGAAAACTCACTAAAAATCACCGGACCAAAAAAACTGCGAACTAACGGATGCCCTAAGACGTAAGGATGAAAACTATCCAGCTGAAATTGATCGGACGGATGGGGAGTAAGAGCAGAGTGGTTGGCGGAAATCTCAAACATTCAATCATCAATCTCAATCAAACTTCAGTAGTGGAAAGAGAACTCTTCGGCAAGATGAGACTACAAATTGTACAGCAAAGCCCAGAGGCCAAGTTCTGAACATCTAAGGAGAAGACGGCACAAACATTGCACGTCACGAGAACAGCCAGAGCACAAAACAAGAAAAAAATGAACCCTTGGCACTTTATTTAGGAAAGCAAACTCCGATTTTTTCACTAGGACAGTAAAATGTGCAAATTACAGGGCCCGAGCGAATCAAATTACATTTTTACTAGAACAAGAAAATGTGCAAATTACAGGGTCTAATGGTGTTCAGAAACGGAACCCACGTGCAACAAAGAGGTCGAAGGGTGCGGATCACACTATAAGGTAGAGCATAGGAACTTTCGAAACAGGTCCACATAAAAAACTTACAGAGAATTCCGCTCGATATTTTATGTGCCTCATTGTGATAACTGTTTAAAAGTACGGCTAGGTTAAATTTGCAGTAAAATCATGCGAATTGAATAAACAAGGGCATAAAATCAAAAGCCGAAGATGAGGGAATTAGTAGATACGTGAGGGCGACTTATACACAAAAGAAACAAGCTTGATCCAATTCTCGACCACGGACTTCACGTACACATACGGCCAACCACCGCTCGTCGAAGAGTCAAGCACACAGTGCAATTGTACCGAGAAATCAGTCAAGTTTTCGAAGAATCAAACGCATTTATCCATGATATTTTAGTCATAGCCACGGGGAACGGAGTCGAAACGACACTAAAAAAGCTGGACCGAAATTGTTACTGAATCTACCAATTTCTGAGTTCACTGTACTAGAGTTCCAATGGCTCGATTATATATCACAAATTTAAACTTTCTAATTTAAACAGCTCTTTGGAATCAATTTTACGGCTAAAAAGGCTTTATTGTGATGCCATTCCCTCCGATCACTTACAATTCTGCCAAAAAATGCGCCCTAGGCCAAAGTTGCTCTTAGTGATGTTATTCTTTGTTATAAAGGCGAAATGTTAAGAGTGATGACTACCTTCTGCTTTGGAGGGCATGAATCCGATGATGGCGAGGAGTGCAGTGCGCACAGACCAGGAGGGCAGCCAGGTCTCCGGGTGGTAGCCAGAGATACTCAGACAGATCTTTTTGTTCACCTCGAACCTGCACATCACAACACAACAAACATCACATAGTGTTAAATATAAGAAGAATGAAGTCAGGTAGGTAACATTAAACCCCAAAATTAAAAAGAAGAAGACTTCGCTGACGCTCTGCGCAACCTTCGCCATAAATGAATAACTAGCGTTTAACGCACCTCTGGTGCTCCGGATTTTTTCGACAACTCATGAAAAATCGCATATATTGTAAACAAGATCTGCAAACTTTTGTGTACTCTGACTGCACCAATTACAGGGTCAGTAATTTCAAACTTTTTAATTTTTTTGATTCCCATTTCGATAAAATATAAAAGCGTCATCTCGAAAACTTAATGGGTCTCTGGAGAAATATGGAGGCCAGATTTGCAACCACTGAGAGCAACCTACTATACAGTTGGGAATTTCAAATTTCGTGAATTTTTTTAAACTTAAGATTCCCGACAAAAATTGAAAAAACCATTAAAAAACGTTTTATCTCGGAACAAATAAGGATTTGAGCAATCATATTTTGAGGCAAGATTTGAGACGCCTGGGTATACGCTGACAATAAGGTTGTGTCTTCATCAAGTTAGTAGTTTCAAATTTTGCGAAATTCTTTGTTGATAATTTCTTGAATAAATTTTGAGAAAAATCAAAAAAACGTCACATTTCGGAAATTAAAAGCATTTGAGCAGTCGACTGTGGCAAGATTTGTAACTCCTGAGAGTGCCCTGACAGCACTCAACTACAAAGTTGGGAATTTCAAATTATGGAAAAAAAAACTTAAATTTTCTGAAATTTTTTAAAGAATAATCACAAAAAGCGTCATATCTCGAAAACTACAATGATTTGAACAGTCATACTTAGAGGCAAGATTTGCAACACCTTAGAGAACCTTGACAGTACCCAACTACAGGGATGAGAATTTCAAATTTTGAAAAACAAAAAAATTAGGTTTTCTAAAAATTTTTTGAAAAAATCACAAAAACCGTCATATCTCGAAAACTATAAGGATTTGAGCAGTCATAATTGGAGGCAAGATTCGCAATCCTTAATAGTACTTTGACAGTGCCCAACTACAGGGTTGGTAGCTTCCAGTTTATAAAATTAAATTGTAATTTGAATTTTCTGAAAATTTTTGAAAAAATCACCTAAATCGTGTTATCTCGAAAACTACAAAGATTTGATCAGTCATAATTGGAGGCAAGATTCGCAATCCTTAATAGTACTCTGACAGTGCCCAACTACAGGGTTGGGAACTTAAGTTTTTTAAATTATTTTGTAATTTGAGTTTTCTGAAATTTTTTTGAAAAAATCACCAAAATCGTCTTATCTCGTTAACTAAAAAGAATTAGGCCATTCAAAACTGGAGGCCAAAATTGCAACCCCTTGGTGAATCCGGACAGCATCCCAATATTGGGCTGCTTATTTTAAACTCGGTGAAATAACCACTAAAATCAAACTGGAAAATCGAAAAAAAAAAACATTCTTAACCATTGCAATATACGATATAGCTTAAACGTGCAGAAATTCTTTTAAACGTGCATAGCTTAAACATGCAAAAATAATACATTGAAAAAGCTTAAACATGGCGAGATAGTGAAGCCCGCATTCAAATATATAATAGATAATATTCGTGATTCGTCCTCCTCCATTACTGACCTGCCGTTTTTGGTCAACATGAAAATGCTGGGGGGCTTCATGGGGTACTCGGGTGGGAAGGAGATGCGTCCGTGGTAGATGCCCTGCTCGAACTCCGTGTCAGGGGGTCCTCGCACAGTGAAGTGCCACTCGAACAGGTTGTCGTCGTCTATGGGCTGTGCATGGTACAGATCAGTGGCCTCCTTCATCTCAATCGCCTCCCGCATCAGACGTCTCACGCCAGCATTGTTCTTGTTATAAGACATAACACTCTCTCTCTAGTCGTATATGTTGCAATGCAGCTGCTATACTAACTAGTTCTAACTAGAACCACTCAATATACTTTCACACATTGAACCTCAATCTGAAAAATTTTTACATATTCACAACATGCTATCGTAACATACAATAGGCGTTGACAACTTAGTCTTAAAAATAATAGCCGAACGCACCGCACCCAATAGCTCTATATTCGGTCACAATGTTGAACACACAGGCGAAGCTGAGCGTCACACCACTTGCGATACAAAAATAAATGATTAAATCAGCAAGACACTCAAAAACTATCAAGGCTTCGAACGTTGTTACCATTGAGGAAACAACTCGAAAAATAAACAATCATAAAAAATCAAGTTTTTATATGTTAAAATTTATCAAAATTTTTTAAAACAATTTCAAGTGGGGTTGAATTTCAGCATCCGAAAAATTCAACTTGGGGCCAACGTCTCAAGGATCTCATAAACAATATCGGCAAATTGTAGGAAACAATATTAGGTAACTAAGCCGACCGAATTAAAGCCGACAGCCAGTCAGCTGAAAATCAATCAAATACGTTCGGCAAAACCTCATTAGAAAAAATTGTACTGCGGAAATAGTATCCAGGAAAGCCATATATGTACTGAATGCAAAGTGGTATACACAATTCGGAAATTAAACCGAGAGCTTAATCGAAACCCATAAAGCCGAAAAATCATCATAGTTTATAACTATGCATACAACTAGATCCATCAACATGAATGAAAAGAGTTTTGAAAAAAAAACTTGCTCAGGCAAAAGAATGCATAACTACCATCGGAAAAATTTACCAAGCGGTAACAAAACCGGAATCTCCTCAGCTTAAACCTTTCATGCCGAAAATTTAAATTATTGAAATTAAATTGAAATTATTTAAAAACTCAAAAACTGTTTGCCTCAGAACGCACAAGCACGCAAAAACTTTTTTCGGTCATCAAACGACGCATTATTAGGCTGCAAGGTCGATATAAAATAAGCCGAAACCGATTAAGCCAAAAGACAAAAATATACATATACATAAAAATAAATTAACAAATCGAGTTTGTTAAATTACAATATTAAAAGCAAATTTCGATTCGGCTGGCTAAAACACTTAAGTGCAAATTGTTAACAGGAAAAAAAAACGATTCTTAAATGCGGCAAAACATGAGCGAACAAATAATAGACCGAAATGTGTATGAACCGGAATATTCACCGTTTGAAAAAAAAAGGTTCTGGTCAGATTCGAACCCAGAACCTTTGACATCCCAGGCATATCCGTTACCTCCCGGCTGTGGGCCAGTGAAACTCAGAAATTTGAACTCATCATGAACCAAGGTACCACCGGAAGTCCAGATGAGCCCTAAGATTGAAGTTATTTACGGAAAAAAGTCTAGTACCCGATAACAAAACCCTTGCTTATCGCAAGCGTAAGCAATACTCTATCGGCAGAATTAACGACTTTTGTTTATCAAACCCTCACTCTAAAAATAGAAGGCGCTGTAATTTTTCTCGACGGTGTTTTTGATAAAATATTATAGAAGTTAAGCGAAACCTATCAATATAAACTATTTAATCATATACGCACTGCTCGAAAACTCTATTAGACATTTTTTTTAGCACACAAGTGGGTCTTACGGTCAATTTAGCTAGTGTAAACTTGACTGCATTAGCCACACTTTGCAAAAACCAAACAAAAAATTAAATGCAATGCACACAAATATGGAATTTTTCGCGAATCAACTCATGATTTTTTCGACCTTTGGAGTCAGTTCCTTCTGCTTACAATTAAGCTCTTTTAGAGTTTGAAAGAGAAGTAACACATGTTCTCGTGACCTTTACACTTTTGCTTTTCAGTGGCGGAGCTTGACTTATTTGAACAAAAGGAATGAACTGAATTTTGAAAATCATAATGTGAAAACTCAAATTCGAGCGTGAAATAATCCTAAAAAATCAAAAAAATCATCTCATCTAAATGACAATCACTTCTTTCTTTTACACTTGAAAAAATCATCGAATGTTGAATTTTTTTCAAGAAGTAATATATCGATTTTTACGCAAAAACTTTTTCAGCAGCTTGTCAAAACAGGTAGTCAAAACACGAGCAGTCTGGTTCTATATTTATTGTAATACGTTGCATTTGAAAACAAAAAGAAAATAGGCATCAAAATAATGTGGCAGGAGAGAAGCTAATTACTGGACGAGTAGCAAAGAATAGCATATGACTATAGTTACCATTGCAAAAATTAAGCAAAAAAAATAGAAAAAAATCTTTGTTTTTTATTAGAGAAATTCACAGCAGACAACATTGATTTCAAGTCTTTAAAATAACTATTCTTATTGAAAAAACAAGAGAAGCAGATTATAAAGTGTCCCTTTGTCCTTCGCTAAATTTTCGCTGAATTGGAGTCTGGATGCCGAAAATTCAGACCAATTTTCCTCGATATTGAAAAAAAAATTTCAAACTTTGTTTTGAAATCCGCATCACAGCTGGCAGGGCTTTAACGTGATACATCACTTGACGTCATGCGAGCTTTCTTGGAGGTTCTCAGAATCGGCTAGAAAAAGTCCACTCCACTCTATAGTACCTTCCCACTAACGAGATTGGTCGGAACAAAAGGAGACGTTTCAACAGACATTTATTTTTAATGGTCTATCAAAAAGATGTTAATCAACATGAAACAACTTTACTACATCAAGAATGGACAAAAATGAAAACAATGGAATAAACATGAAAGCATTAACGCGACATTTGAATAAATAGGAGCTGCAAAGTGAGAATCAGGGGATCTTTCATTCGTTTCCTTGGGAGATTATCTTGGTACTAGTGATTCCAGTTTTCATTCCCCCACTATTTCCGACCATCCAGCCTTTGGCAGCGCTGTAGAAACCTAAACGAACAAAAAATATTACACAGTGATCAAACGATGCTTCTGTCATGGTAAGAGTTTCACTAAACTACAAAAAAAACATAGAAAAAAAAACACTTAAACGCTAGGGCCCTTTCTATGTTAGCCAATTGAACCAATCCGCACCGCTCGCGATATGCGAAATAAGAATAAATTACTTACTTTTTCCTCTCTGCACTGAGGAAACTTTAATTACCAGCAAAGTTGATTTACGACTAAAAACTCATCCATATGCTACCCTACGCATCCCAAGTTGACGTTTATTTCATACCTGATTATGCATTGTAAAAAAACACCCAGATATAACGCAACTACCACCAAACAACACATATAAAATATTTGTATGATATAAAAACAAGGATCGCCGATTACTGTACAAGCAGCACAGAATTGTCCGACCACAGTAAAACAAAAAAAGTTAATGTCGTTTTTTTCTGGTGTGATAGAAAGATCAGAACGCAAAAATAGAACTTAAGCATATTCTACAGGCTTATTAGATTGAAATTAGACCAAAAACCAAATATGTTGAACGGTTTTTCACGACAGAAATTTTATCAAAATTTTTATCTGTCGTTCGAATCAAGACGGAAAGGGTTTTATTATGATATATCACTCATCCATTCCAATTATTATTTGTAGTACCTGCTTTTGCGTGGAAAACAAAAAGAAAAACACTGAAACACACCTGAATACAAAGTTACTCCGCATTTTTTTACACTCGAATACAAAGTTACTCCGAGGAAGTTGTATGAGGTGCAGAGGATCCATATACGGAAAGTTGATTTGAAATCATTTTTCTTGGTATCACTGAATTTTAGTGAGTTTGCTCTTTCTTGTGCCTGTTTGTTCTTCCTCTAGAACTTTCACGCAATCACTATCATTGCCAATGCAAGCATCGCGTATTGATATGACTATCATAAAGCGAACGTCTTGCCTGCACGCTTACGGACTATGTCAGCTTCTAGTTATCTATCAGATTGTAGCAAATATGAGCTGCCAAAACTCCACAACACCGCAAAAGTATTCATCGTGCCTTCTACAACTGGTGGCTACCAAACTTGATACCATCAACGAGAAAATTAAGGTACTTCAACATTTCAGCACAAGTTAAACCGAAACATTGCGTCATTTCCTTCACGAGCTTAAGGAAACGGCAAAAAATGACTCCTGGCAATGAATGACTCGTTTTTCAATTTTCCAGATTTTTGAAAACTAGTTTGAGGGATAAATTGCTTATTCCGCTGGGAAATTTTATTTAAACACTACTAATGAAACGAAAAAGGCAGCGCTAGTTCTACCTATAATACCGGAGAGGCTAACTGAGCTAACTGTTTAAACGATCAAAATCAATTCTTTTTTGGGAAAATAAACCTGCAAACATATAATTGAACACATCAAACAGACAGTTGGTTACGAAGACGGAGCTGCACTTCAAAAACACCAGAGAAAAAACGGCATAAGGATTTTAAAATTAAAACTCAGGCTTCCTTAAGTGATAAACGAATTGCAATTAAATCATTGTCCGACCAGGAAACCGTAGTGAGTTTAACGTAGTTTTTCTGTTAGTTGGTACATTAACACAATCAAAAACGGATTCATTACTATTAGTAACTAGGCTAAGCAAACGGTTGATTATCAACTGAAACATTCTCAATCTTTCACCTTTATCAACACTTGACGTATATAATGGAATTTGTACAATCTCAACGCGGAAAAAAAGCATCTTGTTGGTGGTAATTGATATGGTGAAAAACAAGCAACTTGAAACAGTCTTTTTAAAAAACGATGTACTTTCGAAAACTGCGGATGGTTATCAGGGAGAAAAACAAGCAGAGCAAAAGGTTAACTGGACGAACAACAAAAATTCGTCTAAAAAACATTAAGATCATTTACTGAGCTCATCAAAAATTCAAGCTAAAAGTTTTGCCAAAGAAATTCGAGAAAATCCCTCAAACACCGAAAATGCTTCTCTAGATTGTCTTCAGAGCACAAATTGACTTGCACATTGATGTACTGCTGACAAAACCAAGTTTGTACATCTCTTCGGTGTAACAACAAGAAAAGGTAGCAAGCTATAGAAAAAAAGCCGAAACCAAAAAAACCTTGAGAGCGTCTTAGATAACCAGTAAAAATGTGTGCAGCGCAAAATTGACTAGCCTCTTTATGCATTGCCGACACAACAGATTTTCTACATCTCTTCCGCTCAAAAACAGGATAAGGCAGAAGGATTTAGGAGAATCACACACTTAGGAGGATCAAGGAGATACGTTCCTATACTATGACTCTGATAAGTTAGACGGTCGAATTTTGGTCTTCGAAACAAAATATGCGCTCGATTTGCCTTGTCAGTCTAATATCTATCTGCCATGGAACGTTTAAAGGGGCACTAGATAAATTCTACCAGAAATATACCAAACATAGTCGAATCTATGAGCCTTGGAATCGGTCTATAAACGGGCATGTAAATAAATATTAAGTGAGCGTGACCACAAGAAAAGCCTACTTCGCTTGAAATTACTTACCATCCTATTGTTCCTGAATCGAAAAATCTGTTGTTACTCTCAAAGCTAATAAATGGAATCTCGGACTTTGCCTTCGGAAATCTTTGTTTTGCAAGACCTGAAAAATATGGTATTCAAGAAAATCGAGTTTTTGACTGTCCACGTCAAATTTTGGCAATTTCTGGTATAGAACACAAAGACTAGCAAATAACTGCCTCATTGGATTGATATCCAGGATTTTGAACTTCTGAAAGAGAAGTTATAACTGGATAAGAAACTCTTTGAAAACTTTTACAATAAGCCAATTACTTGTACGTGGCGGATAAACTGTGACTGTACTGCAAAAACTTTGAACTTCTAAACTCTTAATTAATGACATAAAATGGACATACCCTTGTACTTTTGACCTTAGAACCAGAAAATTTTAAAAAAAATAAAAGTAACACAGAGGCGAAGCTGAGCTTCGCACCATCTGCGATCCAAAACAAGAAAGCCGCTAAGCTAAGTCGGAAAATAATCGAAAAAACTAGATCTATCAAAATGAATAAGGCTAGTTTTGAGACAAAAACATGCCAAGAAAAAAAATGTAACATTAGCATCGGAAGAAAACTTATCAAGCAGCAACAAAGTCGAAAATTCCTTAAAAAACTTTTTGAGCCGAAAAAAAATCAAGACTTAAAGACTTAGAGAAATACAATTAGTCCCCTTCACCCTCAAAACATAAATACACAATACTTTATTTAAACGTCAAAAGAAAGTATTTCAGCCATATAAACGACGTATTATGAGGCAATTTAGTCGATACATTATACGCAGTAAACGACAAAGATAAATGGTTGATGTTCAAATAGCAGAGCAAGTTCCGACCCATAGTATAAACGAACCAAAAAAAAAATACAAACATAAGTGAATTAAAAATATTCTGAATAATGCGCCAGAATGTGTATAACAATTAAAAGTCAGGCTAGTAAAAAGTATGAAAAATTGGAGAAAAAACCGGCAAATTATACATGCAAGATGTATAAAACAGCGATACATCAATACCGAACACTTCTTTATCACTTTTAGAGAAACACGATAAATTAGATCAGAAAAACATTTCACCTGAAAGAATCATTCAAAAATTCACATAACCATTTCGAATTAATTCGGAAAATTTATACTGTTTCAGCAAAAAATTTCCCAGATGAAAAAAAGAAACAAATAAAGAAAACCAAAACAAGAAAAAAACACTGACTGAGATCAATGAAAAGTTTAAATTCAATAAACAAACGCCGGTTCACATTTCCCAACAAAAAGAAACTCCGATCAGACAAAAACAAGTTTACAGAAAAAAAAACCATTGAAAAACTGATACAGAAAAACAAATTTGAAGAATATTAGGAAAACTATAACACATATCGAAAAAATAGATCTAGCAAAATGTTTACGACTTACTTTGAAAAAAAAACGCCAGAACAGTAGAAAAAGAAATTCTCAGTGGAAAAAAATTACCAAGCGGTAACAAAGTCGAAAATACTTTTGCAGAAACCATCTAAGCCGAAAAAAATCAACAAATAAGTTTTATAAAAAAGTTAATAAGTCCCCCTCGCCTTCAAAAACACACATGGACATTTGCTCGTCATACTAAACAAAATGGGGCCACTAAGCCGATATTAAAAAGTCAGAAACCAATTAAACCGAAAAAATGAAAATAAAAAGCTGAAAAATTCAAAAAACATGAAGGCTAATAAGAAGTCATTAAGTCCCCTTCACTCTCAAAACACGCACACAAGAATAAAGTTTTTCGCTCGTCAAAGACGCAATAAGAAGCCGTTAAGCCGATTCAATATAAACTGAAACCTATCAAGAAAAAAAGGTTACACAAACAAAAAGCCGACAAAAAACATTAATGTCATAAAAACCTTTAAAAGTATAATCCTTTTAAAGCAGTTTGTGCGATCCAGAGGGGAGCATAAAAATTTTGTTTCCCTTGAAAAGACCCAAAAATAGGTCACTAAGCCGAATTAATGTACACCGAAATCATTTGCGCCAAATAAAGTTTTCAAGCGAAAAAAAAATGGAAAGAAAAAGAAGGATATATACTGAGGCAAGGTTAGCAAAAGTAAAAACAGCAGAAAATCAAAACTCAAGAAGCAACGACATTTTATTTACAATAAAATCTATGATGTAGCAAACGTAAGCATCAAAAAAATGGGCTGACAAATTTGGTTGAAACGGAATGTTTCCAGTTTGAAAAAAAAACAGGTCCTGTCAGATTCGAACCCAGGACCTTTGCCGTCCCAGACGTTTTCGTTACCTCCGTAACAAGTGTTGCCGGAGACGCAAAGACATTTTGATGTATTATGAATTGGACCTGAAATCGCCAATTCTACTTTGATCATTCTATGAACAAAGTTAATTACGGGAAAATGTCTAGAAACCGATTGCAATACCCTTGCTTATCGCAATGGGAAAAAGAGTGAAATCAAATTTACACTT